TGCAAGTTGGGGGTGGGCAGAGAGAGAGGGAGAAACAGAATCCAAAGCAGGTTCCAGGCTCTGAGCTGTCAGCACAGAGCCCAACGCAGGGCTTGAACTCACAAACTGTGAGATCATAACCTGAGCCGAAGTCAGATGCTTAACTGACTGAGCCACCCAGGCGCCCCTCTTAATAATAGTGTCTTTTGAGGTGCAAATTTTTAAATTTTACTGAGTCCACTTTTTTTTATGGACTATGCTTTTAGGGTTGTATCCAGAAACTCATTTCCTAGCAAAAAGATTTTTCTCCTGTCTTCTTCTAGACAGGACTGAAATCTTAACCAGCCTCTGGGAGAGTCTGTTGCATACTCCCCATATGCAGTGGTCAGACAGTATCTACCACCTGTGGATGGAGTGTGTAGACACGGTGTGAGTCTTGTCTGACAGACTGACAGACTAGGAGCTCTTGTGTCTGTAGTAGAAGTGTGTGTATCTTAATGGCTTCTGCTCGTGTGACAGGGGTGGGAGCTGGGGGGTGGGGAGCACACCATGAATAGACCACTTCAGCCTCAGGAGTCCCTGGTGTGGGAGGCAAACACCAGTCTCCCTGCTTTGCAGACTGTGCTAGTTCAATGGCTATCTCCATGACTGTCCCTTTCTCATGCCATCCCCTTCCTAACTTTGGGTTCCGTCCCTCTTGCCATTTTTGAGGGAAGAGGCTCTGAGGACAAGTGGGGGAAGCAGCAAAGTCTGTCATTCACATACACAAACACACGTCCACCTGTCACGCACCTACACTCTGCAGCACGTGTATTTGCATAAACCCGGCACACACTCTATGTTTACCTCTATCAGCAGGAGCAAAAGCACTTGCAGATCTCCATATGCTGCCACATTCCTGCAACACCCAGGAGGGCAGAACTGTGTCTGTGGACAGCTGGGGACCAGCGCGCCTTCAGTGAGCAAGTGTGTACATGCGCCACCTTGCCCATTGCACTGTCCATGACAGGCATCGTGGTTTGTGCACATTTTTGTGGCACACAAATGCTCACATGTGTCCCCATTTGCACATGCACAAACAACCCCACACAGCCTCAGTCTCTCTCCCCTCTCATGGGGCCTGGCTCAGGGAGCCTTTGGTTTGAATAGAAACTGGGATGGAGGAGGTTGCTGGAGGAGAGAATTCTCTGTTTCCTTTAACTACTCCCTCTGGCTAGGGATCATGGGAGGGAGGATAGTCCTTCTATCCTTTTTATTTTTAATTTATTGATTTGTAGGGTTGTTTTTTTTTTAAGTTAAGCTTGAGGCCTAAGTAACCTTACATGTATATTTCTCTGAATTTTGACAAATATAAACATATAGTCATGTAACTACCACAATACGATATAGAATAGTTCCATCACCCCTAAAAAAGTCCCCTCAAGGCAGAGGGACAGAGATGAAGAGGGAGCCTGTTCACAGGTCTGGGAGACCCTGGGGCGGGAGGTGGGGATGGCTCTGATTGCCTGTCCAGTGTCCGTGTGTCTGTGGAGTTAGGACACCTTTGCTCTGCACTCTGGGAGGGGACTGGGATTAGGGAAAGGTCAGCAAGGCAGGATCAGAGCCTGTTTCTAATTAAAATGCTGATATTTTGTCACCAGGGCTTGCTTTTTTACATTAATTCTTATTTTTAAAAAGATTGGATTAAAGTACTGTTTATCGTGCTTGCTGAGTTTTTGGTGCCCCCTTAAATCTTAAATTTTGTTCCCAAGGCGAGTGCCTCTCTTGCCTCACCCTGGTTGGTCCTGCTCTGGGGACAGGGAACTTGCCTGGAGTAGAGTGTGTGCTGTTCATCCTCCCTACATTCCACCGCCCTCTTCCCCCCCCCCCCCGCCCTTTTCCACCCCTCCCACTCACCTCTTGGCCCCTCCCTGGTGCCTGAATGGGGACCCCAGGAGGAAGGGCAATTTTACCACCAGTCACTAACAAAGGGATGAGGCCCTCCTGACACTCACCCTCTCCCCCAGTCTGGGCTGTGGGCCATCACTCTTTTCCCCATTTCAGGCTTCAAGGGCCCTCATTCCATTCATTTATCCCACATTCACTGATGCCCACTTATGCCAAGACCCTGCCCTCAAGGCACTGCTAGCTGGGAGGGAAGACAGCTGTGGAAGCATACATGAAGGTTCAGCGTGATAAAGTCAGGGCATGAGGGTGAGGGGGGGCCAGGGAGCTTTGCCCTGGGAATGGTGCCCACATTGACGCTTGGGAAGGAGGAGGCCTTCTGGGGGTGCAGGGGGTGGGTTGGAGATGGACGGTAAGCAGTTCTGTGGGGCTCAAAGAGTTCACACGCTGGTGGTCCCCCATCCCAGGTAGCACTTAGCTATGTTCTAAGTGGCCTGTGCTGGGTCTTTAAATTTTTGAATTGGTCATCAGGGTTCAAAGATCCAGAGATTCTACATAGAAATCCAGAATCCTGGTTTCATCAGCAAACAAACCAACCTGGAGTTCTGGCACTGTTGGTGTGTCCTGAGGGGTAATCCTCAGCCAAGTAGGCTTTCCATAGGGCAGCCCCAGCCCCCCACACCTCTTTACTTGTTACCTATTGTGTTCCCCTCTTTGAAGTCTAGAGCCATGCTGTGTGGGAGCCACTAGGCATATGTGGCTATTGGGCACCTGAAATGTGGCTAGTCCAAATTAAGATGGTCTATAAATGCAAAACACGCATTGAATTTTGAAGACTAAGTACAAGAAAAGCAGGTAAAGTGGCTCATTAATAATCTTTTAAATAGTGATTACATATTTCTGTGATAGTATTTTTGACACATGGGGAAAATAAAATATATTAAAATTAACCTCACATGTTTTCTTGTTACTTAAAAAAATTTTTTTTAACGTTTATTCATTTTATAGAGACAGAGAGTGTGAGCAGGGGAGGGACAGAGAGAGAAGGAGACACAAAATCTGAAGCAGGCTCCAGGCTCTGAGCTGTTAGGCACAGAGCCCAACACGAGGCTCGAATCCATGAACCGTGAGATCATGACCTGAGCTGAAGTCAGAAACCTAACTGCCTGAGCTACCCAGGCACCCCTCCTTTCACTTTTTTTAAGTGGGGTACTAAAAAACTTACATGTATATATGTGTCTCACAGTATATTTCTGCTGATCAGTGTGGGTCGAGAGCCTAGAGGACAATTGCGGAACCAGGCAAGAGGGGCAGGCAGCGGCCAGGACACAAAGTGGGCAAAGGTGGGCGTTATATGCAAGGCGCTATGATGGTTAAGGATGTGAACTTTGGAGTCTGTGATCAGAGTTCAAGACCGATTTCTGCTCCCTACTTTCTGTAGCATCCATCCGACCCTCCCTGAACTTTCAGTTTCTTCAGTTTGGCATAGGGATGGAAAAGACCTATTCATGTAAAGCACTTGGGATACAGCTGGCACTCGCTAAAGGATAGGTGACATCATTCTGCCCAGCTATGATGCAGGAATTTGATTCACAGGGAAGTGATGGGCCCTGATGGGTTTTAGTCTATAGATTGGTATGTTTCAGAAAGATCCCTCTAAAGCAGGGCAGGGAGACCAGAACAGAGCTGTGTCGAAGGCAGGAAGTGAGTGAGTGCCTGTGCACCTGAGGAGAAGTGACTGCATCCAGGGCCCAGAAGGAAAATGAGAGCCTCAGGACACAGTGACGGACAGAGTGAGGTGGGAGAGGGCAGTGTGGAGGGCATCACTGAGGCTTCTGGCTGAGGGACCTGGTGGGGGTGGGAATGAACATCCAGACGGAAAAGCTGGAGGGGCTCAGCCAGGCTGGGAACCGGTCAGCCTTGCTTACCTCTGCGCTCCCTGGCACACAGGGCTCAGCAAATAGTTGCTGAATGGCTGAGGGCTAAGAGTGCTCCCTTTGAGACCACAGTCCAGGGCTTGCTACTAGTTCTCAGTCTAGCAGCAGTGTGATCTCAGGCACAATGCTTCACCTCTCTGGGTTTCAGTCTTCCCATCTATAAAATGGGAATAGTAAATATAGCCTCCCTCATGGATTGTCCGGAGGATTCAGTGAAGTTATCCATGTAAGCACGTAGCATAGTGCGTGCTCAGTTAACTGTTGGCCTCAGGCTTCCCACTAATCCGCATTCCCCGCCACCCCCCGCCCCATACCCACACACAAGGACTGCCTTCTCTCCCATCGCTCTCACTTCCTTGGAGGAAGAGAAGCCCAAGTGGAAGCAAGTACTTCATTCAATTATTCTCCCTTCCCCTTGAGGCTAAGCAGGAGGATAGAGGTTAGACCACAGGAAGAGCTTTCTTTCTGAGCCAAGAGTATCTAAGTGTGTTTGAGAAAAGAGTCCCTTCCCTGCCCTACATAGATTAGTAGATAGTTTTTGGGAAAGGGGCTGTGGAGTGTATCTCTTTATTCCGGTCTCCTGGAGCATCCCATAGTGACTTGTCAGGGAGGGGGACAGCATCAGAGGCCTAACGGGGCTGTAACCTTCTTGCCCTCGGCATGTGGGACTCCAGAGTCTCCAGGCCTTCACTGATCTGGGGGTGGAATGTGGGGATCACAAGCAGGCAGGGGAAGCTGGGGACTCCTTGTGTTTGTGCAGACCTGGCCGGGCCCTGCTGCAGTGACTCGGGGAGCCTGCCTCTGTATTTCCAACCCTCTCTTTGGTTGCACCCGACCAGACTCCAGGACTCTGCAGAAGCTTTTTGAGTTTTAATAAGGAATCAGTCTCACGCAGCAAAGGGAATGCAGGTTCAGGAGGCAGACAACTCCAAGTTCAATTTCCACCACCCATTAACTGAATGGACTTGATTGAGTCACGTTAACCTCAGTGTGCTTCAGTCTCTTTGGGAATTCGGGACAGTAGGAGAGCCCTCGAGCGCTGGGATGCTTAGATGCGGCTGTGTGCCCTCATGTGGCACGGTGCCCAGCGCACAGTCAGTGCTTCCTCGGTTCCCCCTCCGCACAGCGGGCTAGCGCCCGTGTCCTGTGGTCCCTGGCTCAGTGTTGTCTCTCTCCCTTGCTCTCGCTTCTGTTCTGCAGTCCCCATCCCCTCCAAAGCCAGCAGCCTCTCGGCCCTCTCATTGGCCAAAGACAGCCTGGTTGGTGGCATCACGAACCCCAGTGAGGTCTTCTGCTCGGTGCCAGGTCGGCTCTCACTGCTCAGCTCAACGTCCAAGTACAAGGTGACGGTGGGGGAGGTCCAGCGGCGACTCTCACCTCCCGAGTGCCTCAATGCCTCCCTCCTAGGCGGTGTCCTTCGCAGGTAGGATGGCCAGACCACAGTTCCCTGCCCAAATCCATGGCCATTTCAGACCTTCTTAGGGGAGGAGAGAGGGGCCAATCTCACCCCAGGCCACAGCCTCATCTCCATCTCTGCCTACTTGGGGAATTGTGCATGTTCTGGGGGGATGGCCTGGGTCCTCATCAGCTCCTACAGGTCTGTGGGCTTGGGGGTGGGGGTGGAGAAAGAAGCCTGGTCACTGAGAGGGGATGGAGGGCTCACCCTTGTTGGGCAGAATGGACAAGGCCTGGTCTAAGGAAGAGAAAGTGCCGCCTTCATCCCCTGCCCCAAGAAAGGGACCCCGGGATCCAAGGCCCATTCCCTGTGGAGCACAGGCCTCTCTGGTGTGTTTGTGTTTTGAAGTCCATGGTCTGTCTTCATAGTTGGGTGTCTGTCCCTCTGTGCACATCCTGTGCCTGGGTAGAATATTTGTACTTCAGGGCTGGGAGTTTTGATGTGTCTGAGGACAGTGTGTGATTGTATGTGTGTGGTATGGGGGATAGCCAGAAGTATATGTTTCCATGAGTGAGGGTTTCCTGTGTTACTTCTAGTGGGATGTGTTGGCTAGAGTGTGTCGCTCTGTGTGTGACTGCATGTGCTTCGGGAGGTAGACGTATGTGTGTTTATAGGCCTGTAGCTCTGTGTGGAGGCTGCATTTGTGCAGATGTGAGGGCATCTCTATTCCTGGTCTCTTTGAGCACCCCAGAGGGGCTTGTGTGAGTCCGTGACTGTCAGTACATATGTCCCTGGCTTGGTGTGAACATGTGTTTCTGTGTCCCTATGTGCCCCTGAGTCTCTGAGTCTGTGTGTGTCTGCATATGCCTGACTCTGTGGGTATGTGTGTGTGTCCTTATTGCCCTGGGTGTGTGTTCATCTGTGCGCGTGTTCATATATGTGTCCCTGGGTGACTGTGTGTGTACCTGTGTCTCTCTGTGCGCATGTTCTGGCATGTTCTGCACACAGGTCTGTGTGTCTCTGGGTATCTGTGTATGGCTCAGCTGGTGTGCTACAGTGGGGAAAAAGGACCCCAAGATTCTGGCCTACCCTTCCCCACCCCAAGCTGTCCGTGCTATTGAGAGGATTAGAGAGAAATGAGTGGCCCTTAGAGCTGGGTGCTAGGTCCCTCACCCCCATCTTGGCTGCAAAGCCAGTGAGGCTAGGATACTGGGAACAGGCTGAAAGAGGGCCCCGAGCATCCTCGGGTCCAGACCCAAGCCTCGGCACAGGCTGGTGGAGGCAGTAAGGCCCTGTTGGGGTCACTTAGCCAGATGCTTCTTTCTGGTCTTCATTGTGTATGTCTGTCTCTCTCTTGGTGCATGTCAAGGGCCAAGTCCAAGAATGGGGGCCGCTGCCTGCGGGAACGGCTAGAGAAGATTGGGCTCAATTTGCCAGCCGGCCGTCGCAAGGCCGCCAACGTAACACTTCTGACTTCACTGGTGGAGGGTGAGTGAGGCCTGAGGGTGGGTGTGAGTGTGAGCATGAGGGCAACTGTGTCACCCGTCACCCACCATGTACCTGTGACTGTCCCTGACATAGGAGGGTGCGTCATGTATAATAAGGGGTGTGTGTGAAGTATGTGTATAGTCTTTGTGTGCATGGGCATGCATGTAACATGCAGGTGAACAGGAGTTATAGGGGGTGGGGCCAGTGTTTGGAGGTGGTAAAGGGATGAGGGGGAAGAGCCCCTTCCCTGGAGACTGAGAATTTGGGCTCAGTCATCTCGAGCCCAGGCTCTGGGATACATGGTGGCCTCAGCTGCTGCCCCTGAGCTCAGAGCCCATCCCCTGCGGCCCCAAGGGAGGGCAATGGGATCAGGTCTGGGGCTGCTCTGAGAGAGAAACCATAGGAAGGTATCTACCGAAGCAGGATGGGGCAGAATGGCCCCTAGCCAGGGGGTCTGAGGTTCAAGGCTGTGCTCCAGGCTTAAAGGTATGCCTGGCTGTAGTGGCAGATCATCGCTCTGCCTCTCCTCCCCCAGGAGAGGCCGTGCACCTGGCTCGAGACTTTGGCTACGTCTGTGAGACTGAGTTCCCGGCCAAGGCAGCTGCCGAGTACCTGTGCCGACAGCACGCTGACCCCGGGGAACTGCACAGCCGCAAGAGCATGCTGCTGGCCGCCAAGTGAGTGAGGGCGCCACGCATGGGTGTTTTGGGACACTGTGCACAGGCTGTCATGGGCACCATGCACAGGCACGTGTAGGTGCAATGCAGACACAAACACCAAGCATGGGCGCAATGGACACCACTCGTGCACACGTGATGTGCAAGTGGCACCACAGGGGCACACGTGGACACGTGAACATACCTGGGTTCCATGCATCAGCACAAACCGTGTCACAGACAGGCTTACATGGGCCTATGTGTGGGTCCCACACCTCCATACACTGCCCCGTGGCATCACCAGCCCAGTCCCAACGCGGGTCTTGCTTCCCCTGCCTGAGCCTTGTCCATCCGTCCTTTTGCTGCAGTGACTTCCAGCAGGGCCCCAACACACGCCCAGCTGCAAGGTGACCCTCCCTGGTCCTTGCCTCACACCTGACCCCTCTGCAAGTCCCCTCACTCACTCAGATGCTGCCACCTCAACTCTGGTCTCCTAATCTCACTCCTAGACCTTCATCCCAGGGCCCCACTGTTCCCTCAGCCTTCCTGCACCGCTCCTCTGCCCATGAACCTTCAATGGCCCCCCAGCTACTGCACCGATTTTCAAAGGTTCTATGTGGATGCCTGTTTAATTCCATTCAGATTTCATTTTTAAAAGGGTCCCATTTCAAGAAGAGAAAGAGAGAGGGAAGGAAGGTTAAGTCCAGACTCCTTTGAGGACTCTACAATCTGGCCAGCACAAACCCCACTTACCACAACTGACTTTCTCACTCTCTCCTGCGCTCACACCTTCTGCTTAGAACAACATCCAGTCCCCCACCTAATGCAGTCCTAATACAGTCAGATCCCACCTCCACCCTCCCTCCTTCGGGGCTTCCTAGGCAGAAATGGAGTCACAGACTCAAGGGACTGCCATGTCTCCTGGGACCTTTGAGTTCATATCGTAGCTGGAGAAACATATCCAGGGCAGGGCTCCCCTCACTCATTAATCAGCGAACTCCTCAACTCTTCCTGGTCATGTGTAAAATGCTGACCGGGTTCCATGGGGATGCAGAGGTGAGACGGGAGTTACGTTCTCCTGCCTGAGCCACATGCAGGATGAATAGTGGCCACAAACTGGAGCTAGACTCAGATCTCAGCTTAATCACTCGGGCAGGTCACCAAACCTGTCTGAAACCAGTTTTCTTACATGGTGAGGATGATAATAACAGTTATGTATTTGTTGTGGTGATTAAGTGAGATGATGCATACAGTGTTCTTGGCATAGCATCTAGGCCTCAACTCATGTTCACTGCTATTATTTTAGTTCTTCAAGGCAGATTCTGGACTGTTCCCTAATCATTTCAAAGACAAAGTTCTGTGAAGCACTGGGTGTTTGGGATGGGAGTGGGGGAGGGGATCAAGGAAAGCTTCCTGGCTAAGGTAGTAGAGCTGGACTGTGAATGTGGGTGGGACATCCACAGGAAGAGATAGCGGGGTGTTGGCACATGCCATTTACTAGCTGTGTGATATTGGGTAAGTCCGTTAAGTCTCTGAACCAGTTTCCTTGTCTATAAAATGGGTATGACCATCATTTGCAGACTATTGACAGGGTCAGCAATCATATAAAAATTGCCCTGCACACAGTAGGTCCCCCTCTAGGCTCAGCCCTTTGTCCTCTAACCTCCACCCCTGCTTCCTCCACCAGGCAGATCTGCAAGGAGTTTGCAGATTTGATGGCTCAGGACCGCTCACCGCTGGGCAACAGCCGCCCAGCACTCATCCTGGAGCCCGGAGTACAGAGCTGCCTGACACACTTTAGCCTAATCACCCATGGCTTTGGTGGGCCCGCCATCTGTGCTGCCCTTACTGCCTTCCAGAACTACCTGCTGGAGTCACTCAAGGGGCTGGACAAGATGTTCCTAAGTGGTGCGGGCAGTGGGCGTGGGGACACCAAGGCTTCAGAGAAGGATGCCACGCACCGGAAATAACTGCTTCTTCCGCTGCCTCATCCGGAAGGGTTTCCCAAGGCCTGAAATGAGGCCTTAGTTCCTGGGGGTGGGTCTGAAATGATAAAAAGGTGGAGTTCGAGTCAGGCCAGAAAGAACATTCATCCAGAGACCTGTGAGTGAGAGGCTGGAGAAGGGAAGGTGGCCTCTCTATGGTGGTTCATTGATAAGTGAAGGGCCCGGATGTCTGCCGCATGGGCACAATCTTCTGACCCTTGATTGCTGAGAAGTGCTTGGACAGGAAATTGGCAAGGAGAAGCCTGGTCTTGGGCTGAGCCCTGCGCCTCAGGGCGCCTGAGCAGTGGTGGATTCTCCTAGAGGCCGAAACCTTGCTGCTTTTACTGATGGGAGGAGGGAAATTGCTGACAAACCAGAGGTACTGAGGAGTTGGTACCCCTCATCCCAAATCTCCTACCCCCAGAAAAGAGGAGCTGGCAGGAGGTCCCCATGGGTTCCTTGGAACCTTTCCACTCTTGGAAAGAAGTGGGCAGGAAGAACCCCCAAGGAGCAAAGATAAAGCACAAATAACAGAACTTGAATCCAGGCTGCACTGCACAGTCCTGTTGCTGTCTGTCCTATTTATTTATGTATGTTGTAATTAAGTTTGAAAGTTTAAAAATGTCGAGTGCAACTTATTTATCCTAATGAGTGGAGAACTCATTTCACTGTTTTCTGCTTATGCACCAAGATGTCCAGCCAGACCAGGATGGAGAGGGTGTTTTTGCTCGCAAAGGGCTGTGGGTGGGCTGGGAGGGAAGATTGTATCAGGGACCCTGAGGTTGTCACGGGGATTTTGTATTCGCTGTTGTTTCTCTTGACCCTGCAGTCCATGTACCTCTTCGACTCTGATTGCTTTCTTATTCTTAATAAAACCTTTTCATTGGGTATGAAACCTCCCTGTCCTTCTTCAGCCCAGGCCTGGATTTGCTTCTCAAGAGGGCAAGGGGCCTCTAAGGGGGAATCATCGGAAGGGGCTGTGGGAACCTCTGTATGAGGGGCTGCAGAGAGTGGATCTATCTGCTTTGTCAGTGTCTGTTATTTCTGTTTGTGTGTGTGAAGTACTCTTGTGACTTGGTGGGCTTGCGTGTAAACGTGTCAGTCTGGCTGTTAGGCCTATGTGATATGTTACCACGACCATTGGTGGTGGGTCTGTATACGTCAGCATGAATGCTGGGGACTATGCGTGTATGTGTGTGTCCAATGCTAATTCGGCTCAGTCTTGAGGATTTCATCTGCTAGGCATCTTTTCTTTCCTGTATCCATCAGTCTCTCCATCTACACAATCATCTACTAACTCACTCCCCAAAGCACTCATGTTCTAGTGTACCTTACAAAACATAAATCTTTCCCCATTTATTTCCCTTGCAGTTAAAGTTTTTGAAAGATCACTACCTCTACCGCCACTTCCTCATCTCCAATTCACTCTTTAACCCACCTCAATCTGGCTTCTACCCCTACCAGTCTATCGAAATCCACTCAGCAAGGTCATCAACAGCCCCAATGTCAAATCCAAAGGCATTTTTCTCTGGACTTAGCAGCACTTGATAAGGCTGACCACTTTTTCTCTTTTTTGAAACACTCTTCTCTGTGGCTCCCAACTTCTGGTTTGCTCTGACCTCCATGGTTCCAACCCTGGCTCCTTCTCTACTTGACCTCCTTTGGCTTCCCCTGGGGACTCTTGCCTGAACTCCAGGCTTGCATGTATATCAGGATGTCTGTCTAATGTCTCCACTGGATCGTCTATCAGGCATCTCAAATTTATGTCCAAAATAGAGCACGTGACTCAGGCTCTCAAATCGTGGCCTCCTCCATACTTTCTCTCTCAGTAAATGGTACTACTCCCCATTCAGCTGCTCAAGCTGGAAACAAGAGTCCTATTTCTTTCCCTACACCCAATCCATCAGAAGGTCCATCCTCTTCTGTCTCTTCTAGCACTATCCTCGTCCTCAGGACTACTGAAGTAACCTTTTTCTTTTTTTTTTTTTTTTATTAATTTTTTTTAAATGTTTTATTTATTTCTGAGAGAAAGAGAGAGAGAGACAGCATGAGCAGAGGAGGGGCAGAGAGAGAGGGAGATACAGAATCCGAAACAGGCTCCTGGCTCTCAGCCAGCTATCAGCACAGAGCCCGACATGGGGCTTGAACCCACGAACCGAACCGTGAGATCATGACCTGAGCCAAAGTCGGACACTTAACCAACTGAGCCACCCAGGCGCCCCAGGCACAAGAAGCTTCTAATGAGGTCTCAGTATTTGATTCTTCCCAGTTAAGTTTTGTTTGTTGGTTATTCCACAGCAAAATAAATTGTGCTTTAGCCCCTGACAAACTGGGTCTACCCCTAAGGAAAAGTAGATGATGATTAAAGAAAAAGCATATATAGATTACATGACTTCTTTTTTTGCAAAGCAAGTAGCTGTGTATTAAATGGAGAGTATTTAGACTAGGTAAGCATCAGTGTTTTGAGCTTATACTCATTTCTTTAAACATTTTTTTTTTAAGGTTTTACTTTTGAGAGAGCACAAGTAGGGGAAGGGCAGAGAGAGGGGGACAGGGGATCCAAAGCGGGCTCCACACTGATAGGAGTGAGCCCGATATGGGGCTTGATCTCTCTGAACCATGAGATCATAACCTGAGCCAAAGTCAGATGCTCAACCAACTGAGCCACCTTAAGTGCCCCCATATTCATTTCTCTTAAAGGATCATGGTGCTCCAGAAGGAATAAGAGTAGCCTTTGATCACCTTCCCTCTTTCAAACCTCATGAAGTTAGGTGAGTGAGGCCGAGCAGCAGGCCTTTCTCCCATCCAACACAAACTCCCAACTCACACACAGGAGCTCAGTGAGCAGCAGATAATTAGGGTACTGAGAACGTCCTTCCTTTTGCCTGTTTCAGGCAAAGAACATTGAAAGGACTCTGGGCTTCAGCCATTGTTGCTGAGCTGGGAAGCCAAGCCATTTCTCAAGCTCTCTCAGCGCCCTCCTCCACCGCTCAGAGGCTGAGAAGTTCCTAGTCCGCTGCCCCCCAGCTCTTTATTAGTCAGGGCTCAGCTTCCCTACCCTGAGGCAAACCAGCTGTTCTCTTCTCCACCCTATCTTCTCTACCCCAGGAAGGAATAGATTGGGGTTTTTTTTACGTATTAATCACCTGAAAGCAGATGGGAACCAATTGGAAGACCATTCTGAGCAGTTTGGGCATGAGTGTTAAACAATCAGTAAATACCCAGTGTTTTGCCAAACTCCAGGAAATCAATTTAGAGGGATATAGCTGGCATTAAAAAAAAAAATTGTCTGGTAGAAAAAAACATGAGAAAACAGAGTACACTGCATTATTACTCAATCCCACACATACACATCATCTGTAAGAAAAGTTTCATGAAGCAATGCTTACTCCTCCAGTAGGTATATACAGGGGTGAAGTCATAAATGTATGCTGAGGCCATGGAAATTCAGTTGGATCACGGGCTTTATGAAGAAGGAAAGAGGGAAAAGAAACTGGGGAGCTAGCATGGAAGAGGATTATGAAATGCCTCACATGTCAAACTGAAGAGCTGGGTTTTATTCTAAAAATAGTGGAAAGCCATCAAAGTTTTAAGTGAAAAGAGGTATGGATGGTCAAACTTGTAGAGTACAGAGAAAGTACTAGAGAGAAAAGAGATTAAAAGTAGAGAAGGTAGGAGACTGTTAAAATAGTCCAGGAAAGAAGATGAAGCATAAACCAGATACTTGGGATAGAGTTTTACTAAAAGAGATTTAGGAAGTAAAACTGCTACAACTTAGTGACTATGTGAAGGAAGGAGAAAAAGAAGGCACCAAAAATGATGCCTAGCTAAGTGCAACGTGGTATCCTGGACTGTATTCCAGAACAGAAAAAGGACATTCGTGGGAAAATGGGTAAAATCTGAATAAAAGTTGGAGTTAATATTAATGTACCAACCAATATTGGTTTCTTAGTTCTTGACAAATGCACAATGGCTATGTAAGATGTTAACCTAAGGAGGAGCCAGGGGACAAGTATAAGGAAACACTGTACTATCTTGTGCAACTTTTCTGTAAAACCAAATTTATTCTAAATTAAGTTTATTAAAAAATAAATGATGCCAGGGCACCTGGCTGGCTCAGTCGGTAGAGCATCTGATGCCAGAGGGTGAGATGCCTAGGAATGAGCCGATCTGGAGCTAAGGAGAGAGATGGAATTGGGAGAAAAGAGACTCGGGAGTTAGGGTGGGCTGGTGGGCTTAACCAGATTGCTCTGGGGACACTTAACAAAGGCAGAGAACCATTTCATTCCTGGTGAAGCATGGATACAGAATAACAAGTTTATTCTTGGTGAGGCATGGATGCGATATAACAATGATTATATACTTACTGCATAGACAGGCCCTGTTCGAAATGCTTCACACTACCTCATGGAATCCTTCTAACTATCCCCCACGGAATAGGTACGATTTTGACCATTTCACAGATGGGAAAACCATGAAGCAGGACTGCCTAAATTTTAGTACAGATAATCAACTGGGGAAGGCATTAGAATCACCTGTGGAGCTCTAAAAATAGATGCCTTAGAAAAAGCCTCAGGAATCCAACTATGCATATTCGTAGTGGTAGTAGAGGTTGAACCAGCTGTGATGATACGAATCATCTCTTTTCTCCCATTTACCCAATGATTAAATTTCTTCTTATGGTATAAAACATCTACCACTGGTGTCTCAAAGAGTATATGACATTCTAATCTGATGTTAACAAAATGCAATTAGTACAAAGTTCTGAACTGTAGACAGCATCTTGAGAGATGGTATTACTTCAGACAAACAAAAAACTTATCTGTATATGGTATTAAGAGTAGAACTGGATAAAGTAGGGCTTATCTTAGTTTAAGATCAAGTGTGGTTCAGGGGCACCTGGGTGGCTCAGTTGGTTAAGCATCCAACTGGCTCAGGTCATGATCTGCTGATTTGTTAAGTTCAAGCCCCGTTTCAGGCTCTGT